GTCAGTAAACTCTCAGAGGAGATTTCCCATCTCAGTGAGCTGATCAGTGAGATGGAGGGGAAGTGTCAGAAGCCAGCAAGTGAATTCCTGCAGGTGAGACTGAGCTAGAAACTTCCCAAATCCCAACACAGGGACAGGACAGCTGGACCCCTGGGCACAGGGGTCCAGCAGTTAGAGATCTCAGTGTAACTCAATGTGTGCTGACATGTGAATGACGATTGTTCTTTGCAGACTCACAGACACATTGATATTAGAGATGGAAAAGCCCCATTAGCTCAGTGAAACCATGGCCCTGGGGCCAGGGCAGGGCTGATTTTCCCTGTATTTGCAAAATCTCTTTCCTGGAATCCCAAGTCAGGTGGTGCTGAGATTTTTTTTTAATTCTCTCTCTCCTCTCTCTCTCCTCTAGGATGTCAGAAGCACCTTGATTAGGTACGTGGCTCTCTCTTACTCCCACACATACTTGGCAATGCTGGGATAGAGCATGGAGATGATGGTAGCACTGCATCTCCACAGCAACATGTGTGGGGAAGGTCACATTTTGGATACAAATCTCTCAGATAAACTTAATCCTGAGGTTCTCACCCTGGAATTATCCATTCAATGGGAAGGACAGACCTCAAGTGTTTCCTAGAGATGTCACATCCCTGGGGGACTGGCTGCCTCAGGATTGTGGGGATGGAATATGGGCCTGTCACTGCTGGGGCCCTGGTCACCATTCAGCCCAGGACAGCAGTGGTCAAGAGTCTTTCCCACCAGAGTCTTTCCCAGCCTGAGGGTTGTTAGGAGACCTGTGAGGAATGAGCTGGAGAGGGGGGAGTTGGTGTATCAGTCTAGTTCCTAGTGGACAGATTTCTACAGCAGTTCACATAGGAACCTCCTGTCCCTCAGAGCATGGAGGCCAAGGAGTGAATTGGCCATGGAGACTCAATTCCCCTTCTGTCCCCAGAGCTGATCTCGCCAGATCAGAGTTGAACAATATTAATGAATCCTTTGAAGGGAGGGTTGTGCAGCCATGGACTGTGTTGCACCTGCTCTGAGGCTGGGAGAAGTCGAGGAATTCGAACTCCAGGCCCATTTGAGCAGCCACTCACTAGCCAGAATTTATAATGAGTCACACAATGAAATAGAATCACATGAATTTTTTTCTCTCTAGGTGTGAGAAGGGGAAGTTCCAGCAGCCAAAGGAGATTTCTCCTGAACTGGAAGAGCAAGTCAGCGATTTCTCCCAGAAAACTATTGTGCTATCGGAGACTCTGAGGAAGTTCAAAGGTACCTAAAATGGATCTAGGAATAGAAATTGGGATGAGCCTCTGAGACTGTGGGAAGAGAATGGTGCTGGTCAATTGGTTCACGCTTAGATGATGCTTCTAGTTAATTGTTGGGTGAGAAGGCCAGACACTTGGGTCCCAGACACTCAGGTTGATTAATTCAAACATGCCTTTCATTTACAATTACAAAGTAAGAAATGACTCAGACTTTAAAGTCAGAAGGGACCATCATGATCCATCTACTCTGACCTCCTGCATATTGCAGGCCACAGAACCTCCCCACCCACTCCTGCAATTTACCCCTAAACTCTGTCTGAATTACTGAAGTCCTCAAATACTGATTTACAGACTTCAAGTTACAGAGAGTCCACCATTTATTGGAGTTTAACATCTGTAAATGATACATGCCCCATATGGCAGAGGAAGGCAAAAACAAACAAACAGGGTCTCTGTCAATTTGATTTGCTGGAAAATTCCTTCCCTATCCCAAATATGGTGGTCAGTTGGACATTGGGCATTTCAGCAAGACCCAACAGCCAGGCCCCTGGGAAAGATTTCTCTCTAACTCAGAGCCCTCCCCGTCTAGTGCCACATCACTAGCCATTGGGATATTTGCTACTAGCCATCGCATATAGAAAGAAGTGCTGGCCAGTTCCCTTCTCCCGGGGCATAGGCGGGTCATGGGGGATTTCTCCTATGATGCTCTGATTACCCC